TCATATAATATTTCATAATATTATTCACTTTTAAAATTACATAACACGATAACTGAACGTGTATGTTACAAATACCTCCTCCTTTTGAGGATTTCGTCCCCGAAATCATAACGATAAAAATAACTGGGAATATTTCGCTCTTATCTCATTCTTATTTTCCTAAATATAATTTGGGCCTCGATGGTGTTTCCACTTGACGTGCACCAACTCCAAGACATATGCACAAATCATATATTCTACCGTTTGAATTGTTCTCTTCGTCTGACCATCTCATTCTTCAATTCTCTGACTAAAATTTCGTCACTACACGATACATGGTTCTCTGAACCAATCACCTCACTTCGCAGATCTATTTTAGTCGGACTCGATTCTTTACGACCATTAAGGTCTGAACGAAAATCATCTTCTTAGTCATTACCGAAACGAAGGTAATGACATACTCGAACAAAAAACGGAATCGAATACTAGTTTCTTGGTAACCTTGTGACTTTCCCTGATCCAAGTGTGAGTCATGTGCTTCCAGTAGTATAGGCCTCTACTACTATTCACACCTACTCATACTCGTCCCAAGTATTGTCTCGCAGTTCTCCAAGTCACCATTCCAAAGTTTTCACAAAGCAACTTATCACACATGAATGTGTTCAAACAAGTACATATGACAATTTCTCCTAGACTCAACTAGGGATTTCACATTTCTATCAAACATATCTTGGATTTCTTAAATTCACCTTCTAGAATTCTTTTTACGCATATGCTCGATCTAGCATATCCTAATACTTTTCCTAGGTCGAGGAATTTCACTTCCAAATTCTTCATATAAATTCTTTCTCGAGTAGTGTCTACTCTGCAAGACACACTACACCAAAATTTATTCTAGCAGTGTGGAGACAAACGGTTTCGAACTACCTGTATCATCTTTTAACTCATACAAGTCATCATGCATATTTGTTTATTTCATTATCCTTCTATGACATCGTCATTCCGGTATATAAGAAAGTCTTCTTCTCATGGTTGTATCTTTTAAGTCTTCTTCATAGGAGTCTATTTAAAGAAGTCTGCATTATAGCTGCATCTCAGCATGTTCTACTACTTTTAAATTAGTTCTCTTTCATTCCTAACTACAACATCTCTTCTCATACAACACTATGAGTGTATATCTTCTTCAACTAAGCATTCTACCTTACTTGGACAAGTAAGTTACTTAGCCTTTTACCACTAAATCACCTAATTCACCATCCTAATCATGTATGTTAAAGTCGGCTTAACACACAATGGAACTTTCATAAGGATGTGATAGAAGTCAATCATCACTCAGTATTAGCAAATACTAAGTCTGAGCATCCTGTATAGGGTTACTATTCGAACTACATACTACATTAGTTTCGATACTGTCGAAGTATTTATCACCATCTTCGGTTCTTCCTACTCTATAAGTAATCATTGATTCAATCTGGACAGCGGTGGAACAACTTCATCGGTTATGCCAAAACATTCATCTCGTTCGAATGTACTTCGAATACACAACATTCTTCCAACGGTGTTATTATTTCACTAAACATAGTTTGAATGTACAACACCACTCTATAGGTATTAATACACTATTTATGATATCACTTGATAAGTATTATTTTACGATATCCCTCGATCGTTTATCTTTAACATTATCGATGTCGACTATCATAAGTCTTCTTATCACTTCGAGAAGTTTCATATTAGTTCTAACGCATAAATTTTTAAATCTGGAATACATAAAATTTCCTCTTCCATACTATGGTCGGCAACAGACCTTAAACTTTCTCAAGTAATAGCAATATAGGTAAGCAACCTATGGCACGCTGTATTCATTATCATTTAGCACATATTAGAATATAAGGTATATCTCCTCTAATATTCTAGTGCTTGTTCATTTAGGTATTCAACCAAAAGTATACTTGATACACATCGTATCATCACTTAACAATCCATGTTTAAGTCTAGAAATTCTCAAAATTCCTAGTTCACTTAAACTAATTCTCTAAAAATTTTTGAAGTAACTTAATATTTTAAAATACTAGGGTTTATCACTACCCAATACCCCACTTAAATCTTTCCTATGGTTTGTATCCATATACTCCTAATGAATCCGTTCATATATTGAACTTCCAACGGTTTAAGTCTAAATACCAATCTGTGGTATTTAGTTCACTTAAACTATTTCTCTGATACCATGATTGAAAGAACCCCTTTCTAAACTTTCGTATTTCTGAAAGACCCAAACTTTCATACTTGACAATTGTTACTCCAAAACATGCTACTTGCATATTCATAAAAAAAACAATATTTTACATTGATAACTTGTTTACATAAGACTGGATACAAACCGACTATTACAAATTTTTATATGTTACATAACTTCCCAAAATACTATAAGTTATACATATATGATTACTAATTACAATAGTTTCAAACTATTCAAAATCTTCTATCAGTATATAACTATACTGGTTACTTATCTCCTGCAATTTGTTAAACATTGAGAGGGGTAAGCGGTGACGCTTAGTGAGTTCAACAATAGATACAATATAACGTTATGCCATATATATATACTTCAATATGGAAGAAGCAAAGAGGAACAAGAAACAACAAAGGCATATGTGAATCATGTGACAAACTTTCCATATCAATCAATGATTTGATTCAAAGATATACGATCAATGAGACATGACAATTTCTATACTTGATATACATCAATAAAGCTTCGGCCCAAATGGCACAGAAGACATACACTTTCTGATTTAAACATTTCGGTAGATTTCAGGCTTATAGCCCTGTCTAACCATCTGCCAATGCCATAGAATAAAAGTCATTCTCTTACGGAGACATGCTCTACATGGCCAGAGGCTACGTACCAGTACCACCGTGAATCTAAGTCCTTTCACTGATCGCATGGTCAAAGGTATAGCTTTGCTATCATAAATAGCGGAAATAAAAATAACACGGGAAAATAACTCGGAATAATAACACTGAAAAGCACATAGCACATATAACACATAACATACAATTGTTCTTATATATTGAACTCATCGTGAAATAACCGGGGGTTAAAATAGTAATTTGGGCAGCACTTCGTTACTATAACTGACTTTCTTCAATGAAAACCGGGCCTTGCGAGGGTTGGGCTTCAAACCAAAAAGATAAATTTCTCGGGCTTCTCGGGAACTTTGGGGCGTGTTTCGGGCGTTGGAAATAATCCCGGGGCTTCGGGGGAAGTTGAAATAGTAGAAATATGCGTTTAGGAGTGAAAAAGGAGCATTTTCTAACATTTACCCGGGAGGTCACGCACCCCTTATATAGGTGCGAGCCTCGGATCCGAAGCAAGAGGGAGGAGCCAGGTAGCAGCGAAGCTCGGACACGCGGCAGCAGCAGCGAGGTTCGGACGCGAGGGGCAGATGGCACGCTTCAGACTTGACACGGAGGTGGCACGCTTCAGACTTGACACGGAGGTGGCACGCGTCAAAAGACTATTGGACCTCGCATCGCTTGGTTCTCCGGCTCGGACACGCGTCTGCATGCGAGAAGGGCGACGTGGCCGAAGCTGTGCCATGCGATTCTTCTCGATTTTAGTGATTTTCTCGAATTTTGTGCCCCGAACTTCTAAAATCCATAACTTTCTTATACGAGCTTCCTTTTTTTACTTTCTTTATACGCACGCGTAGGGAAAATTATGCTCTACAACTTTCGTTTAGACTTCGTTGGCTAATTTTGACTTTATTTTTAATATTATTATTTTTAACAGACCGGGACAGGAAAATCCGTTAAAAATTCATAACTTCTTCATCCGACGTCCGCTTTCGTCAGTCTTTTTACCGTTGTACTAATAATGACGAGACCTTCGATTCTCGTTTAGGTTGTGATGGCTAAAAATCACTCGATCTAAAATTCGAGTTTTTAGCTGTCTACTGTTAAGTTGAAACTTAGAAAAATCATAACTTCCTCATACGAAGTCAGATTTGGGCGTTCTTTTTATCAAAATTCTCGGTTTAACAAATACTACGACTTTCGATTAGATCACCAAGGCTAAAAAGTAGTTTATGAAAAACTCACATTTTACGTCATTCGGCGTCGTGCCGGTTTTATCGCAGATCTTCTATTGATCATAACTTTTTCGTTATAACTCGGATTTCGATGAAGTTTTCGCCTAAATGTTTCTAACGAGATTCTTTACATCTTTCAATAATAAAATTTTACTTATTTCAAATTTATATTTTCGTTAAATTTCGATATTTGTCTAAAAATTGGAATCTCATAAGACTTCCAATATTTTCCGATTGATTCTAAACATAGTTTACTTCATTTCTAGTAAAAACTATCTGTTAGAACTCAATACTCAAATTTCATATAATATTTCATAATATTATTTATTTTTAAAATTACATAACACGATAACTGAACATGTATGTTACATTATTATAAAATATTCTTTATTCACATATGAATAACACATAAATTAAAAGTCTGATACACAATTTATTCACATTTGAGTAAAAGAAGAATTTATTATAAAAATCAGATACATAGTTTTTTTTACTTGTTTGTAATACATCTGACACGATTTTTTATAAAAAAAATAGTTTTTTTTTTTAATATTATATCGATATTGACGTCCGTTTATAAAGAATAAAAATTAATAAATTTTGATATATATATATATATATATATATATATATATATATATATATATATATATATATATATATATATATATATTATTTTCGATATATGAAAATGTTAAAAATTATTGTCGAGATTCTTTCTCGACTTTTATTTTATGTTTCTTTTGAGTCTCTCACCCCCCCCCCCCCCCCCACACACACACACATATATATATATATATATATATATATATATATATATATATATATATATATATATATATATATATATATATATATATATATATATATGAAGCATACATGATATGACCAATGAGTTAATGCACATGGATTATTCTACACCTGCAGGCATCTTGCTCTAGCCATATGAAATACGAGTCAAGTAGATCAAGCACTTACAAAGCAAATGGTTAGTTAGTTAGTCTTATCAGTTAAATTTCCTTTTTAGGTATAAGGTTGCAACTTCAACTTGGTCATTGCAGCTTATATATCTACTAACACAATATAAATATCCACACGTAAAAAAATGTTTATGTACTTTGGTGACCACATGCTCAAAATTCGTGTTCCTGTCTTACCTTGTAGATAATCAATCTATACACCCAATAAAGGTTACATGATGTTAAAGATCATTTACTTTAAAAAGGACTCTACTGCTTTATAAAAAAATGTTATTTAGTTCTAATCTTTATTCATGACCCCCTTTCGATATAAGTTCTCCCTTTTAGTTAAAACAAATGTCTTTTTTGTATAAAACTAAGCTTACTTTAGACACCTTATTATTACACTTCTTCAAAATATTGAACAATGGTAAAAGTTACATTATAAGGTTCTAACTTGTCTTGCAACACAAATTACAAGATGCATACAACTTTTCTGTTTATCCGTATTTAATGAGACTTCCACGAGGTTATTAACATGATAATGACCAATAAAATATTATATTCTAATAATTATCTTTCTAGATTTCTTTTTTTGAAACGTCAAGCTATCTTACTATTAATTTAATCCTAAACACCACTTATGTCTCCTAGTGAGACTTGAACCCATGACCTTTCATTTGAAAGAGTCACTCCTTATCGCTAGGCTAAAGGCCATGTTGAGTGTATCTGGAACATAGACCAACAAACTTGGTATTTGATATAAATAATATTTCCTTAATCTTGGGTATTTGGAACTCCCGAAGCAAGTTGGCTGTTAAGGGTAAACTTTATTTGGCTTGGAAGTTGCTCGAGGAGATACATGTAATGTTATTTCTTATAAGAGTCAAATCATTTAAAATCATCTATAAAGTATGTTTGATACAAAGCTCATGACATATAGTTTTTTTTGTACAAAATATGTTAAAGCAAAAAACCATAAGAGTTTAAAACGTGTACAATATGTTAGGGTTACAACATTTACATCACAACCATAGTTAAGCATGAAGTCTTACTATAGCTAAGTCTTTTCCTAAACATTAAAAAACTTCCATATAAAGTCCTTCACTTCTAAACTTTAGCTCCCAAGCCTGAGATAAGTGACATTTCAAATAATAATATGAAAGACAAATTGTATCGGAGTTATATGGGTTTTAGATTCATCAAGATTTCAAAACTATTCCTAATGATCATTTAAATCAATTTCATGATTCAAAATATATTTACAAAACAACATATAATGGAAATAAATTAAAACTTACTAGTCTCCTTGTCGTAACTCCCAAAATATAGAACAAAATTACACTCTATTAAGGTATCTACGTAAACTACATAGATGGAAGGAATAAATCCAACACATCAAGGTGCATAAATAACCTCTATATTAGGAAGAAATAGATTTAACTAGTTAAGATGCATGGTCCGGACATCTACTTCATGATGGAAGGTTGCATCCTAGAGACTCTATGGTTTCCTTCATTTATGATGTATTTTGTCTAGACAATGAATGCGTTAATGACTTTGACTCAAAAATCAACCAAATCGCAACTTAGCCAAACTCCAATAAATCTTAAGTAGCATGTTTTGTAGTTTATAATAATAACTCATAGCAATGCACTAAAACAATATCAATAGTATTTTAAAGCAATATTCAAAAACTCAATCAAGTTGTAAAAACTTGGTTCTAAGAGAAAATATTGGTTGTCATGTACCTACTAAAAATTCTACATGTACTCCCCTTAAGTGGTTAGGGGGGACTAGCTAAGCTTCCAAAATTCATGTTCCCTTCACTTGAGCCTTTGCTCCTTCAACACTGATGAAATTATTCCATGCATTAATGTGATTTAATTTACCAAGGATATGTATGCATAAGAGTTTCCATTTATATGCATTTATGGGCTTATGCATATTCTTGACAATTAAACAAATGTTTAACATGTTGTCCCACACTTAAATCTATTAATTTTAATAATACAAATTTGAAATTATCTCATTATATGAAATTAATAACAAATAAATAAGCTTTCCAGAAGATGTAACATATTTGTGTTAAACATACACCGTTGGTATAATACTAATCTCATTTTAATCTGCCATGAAACTTGCTAATTGTTTGTAATCATACACTAATCATATCATGGTTATAGTTTATTATCTGATAATTCAACATCATGCAAGTTATATTTTATAGGTTGTGCATTGATTACGTGTTTCGTAACCAAATTCATGTGAAAACTTCAATTAATCATGATTCACATTTAATTATGTACTAATACATGCTCCAAGGGTGATTATATATGAACAATTTGCTAACTTGACTAAACCTTATAAATTAGGGTTCTTGCAATCATCAACTACACCTGAATTAAGACAATATAAATGAAAGATAATTGCATCATACCTTTTTTTCTAGTGTTTAATAATGAAATGCCCTTGGTCTATCTTCTAATTTTTTTTTTCTTGAAATCATACACTCTAAACACCAAGAACACACACATCTCTAGAGACTTTTTTGAGAAAAAATGTCATTAACTTATACGTAATCGGTGCGTTTGAGGGTTCATATGAAGTCAAATTAGTGTGTTGTGCACGTCGAATACGTAGGTAATAGAGTTAATTAGTTTCAATCAACATTTAAGTGTCTAAGTCATCACCGCGCACCCTCAAACACTACTAGAGTGAGGGGGATCGACCTTCCATGCGCCGGTCAACATCCGGTCAACAACCCCATATGTGCCACATGGTCTAGGCCCCTTTTATGTATATTTGAAACAATTTACAACCCATTCTTGAGCCTCTTCCATACATTAGTCATTTTTCTTCAAGTCCCACTCTTTCTTTCTCTTTTTATTTAGTTTTGTAAATGTGATAACTTCTACACTCGGATTCCATTTTCTATGATCTTTATATCGTAATAAATCTTGTCACAAGCCATAGAAAATCTCTTTAAAACTCATTTCCTAATTGTTTCCCACGTTTGAATTACTAAGTCATGAATGTGGGTCTATACCTATTTTTTCCACTTTTGAACCTTAACTAAGCTACTTTCAAACAACCATACTACTTTATTTTAATTCAAAATTTCATATGTATTTTCTTTTTCGAGTACACTCCAACTTTCATTTATTGAGCCTCTTCTCAATGCCTCCAAATATTGAGTTATAAAATTTCAAAGATCCTTCTTCATAACATTTCATGTGGAAACTCAATATTTCATTTCCTTCATTTCTAATTTCCGTTATGTATTTCTTAAATCAATATATATTACGGTGATATAATATTTGTATAAAGTACGAAACGAATATAGATTACTTTTTACCCAAAGTAGTGTAAAAAAGATTCGATGTCCTCGTAAACACGAATCCTCGAATATAAAGAACGCCGATAATAGAGCCCGTATAAAGAAGTTATGATTTTTGCAAAGTCTTTCACAGTGTGATCCTTATAAACTGAAAGTGAAAATAGATTGCGAATTAGCCGATAAAATCTAAATGAATGTTTTTGTTCACATAAACATGAATCCTGGGATATAAAGAACATTGAAATGGAACTCATACACGCACGACACGATTTATCAAAGAAACAAGAAAATAATAGGAAATCAAAGAACTCTCCAAAACCTTAACTACTACAGATGACGTGGTAGCACCAGACGCTGTCACGTGATAGTTGGAAAGACCAAACCCCACATCAACCACAACCTGACGTGGCACCACAGAAGAATGACACATAGGCGCAACAAACATTTCTTCAGCCTGTATATGACTAAAATTTCACTTCAAAACACACACTTTTCTCTCTCGACCTTTTTCTCGCACCCCCGAGATCCGACTTTCTGAGTTTTCGAGCATCTTAGTGAGGCATTGCTATGTTCGAAAGCTCAACAACAGAAGTATTTAGTGTCGAAGTTTTGTCTGCAGAATTTTTGAGTTTTCGCTAGAAAACCCTGGAAGTTGAGTGACACTTTCTATGCTTTTAAGTGTAACTTAAATTAATGTTCATTGTCGTTATTATGAACCTATGAATAAGATTTATCGGTAATACCATTTGTTATATTAATTGATCTACTTACGGGAGTGATGTCTAGGCAAGATCTGGTGAGGTGTTTAAAGTGGATTTTTCCAAACAATATATCTACATACCAAACGAATCCTATCTCTTATATGATCTTATATGGTCATTCCTTATTTGATAGAACTCAATAATCATTGGGATTATTTTTGAATCTGAGATAGTATTAATATAATCTCGAATAATATAAACGGTGATTGAAACTTAGTGATATCCGTGTCTAGGTCTTTTAAAAGAAAAGGCAAAAGTATTCGGTAAAGCACTGAATTAACCACAAGTCTTCCCCATTAAACCAGGTGAGTGCGTAGTTACTTTCATGAACATGATTCTAATAAAATAATTTACTACTTAAAGGATTAAATGTATATTGAATGTGTACTATTTGTATTTTTATGCTAATTGTATACCCTATAATATGATAGTATGGCATGAACAGGAAATTGTATTGGAAGTTGATTACATGTATTGTAGGCTTGTTTAGTTATATACTAAGATTTGTAAAGGATGCTTAGTTCGAAGTAAGACGAATAAGTGAATAGTCTCATTCGGGGTAATGTGTGAGATTAAGTAGATGTAGTAGTCATCCCCTTTCTAGACAACCATAAATGGTGGGTTTGTATCGGAAAACCAGTAGGTACGTCGAGGTAACCTCCCAAATGTAACACTTTATTATTATAGACGGTCTTGTAAATTACGTTACTAGTGTGGACTTATAACCCATATACGTAGATGAAATGGGATACCATATTCATCAAATACTATAATGTTTGGGTTGCCTTTAAATGACTTACATTGGCCAAGTATTCCCTTAGTTATGTAGTTAAACCATTGCTCAAACGATTCATCAGGTAAGGTGATTCTTCAAGATGGCTGGTGAATTAAAATTTATGAAAATTAGTTGGATTGGGTATGTACGGGTAGGTTGTCTTATAGATATCTACGTTGGATTATTTATCCATATTTTCTTTTAGCATTTGTTTTACAATATCATTATATATATTGTTTATCATTCTAAATAACGTAGGATTTAAAAAACCCTATGTGTCTCACCATATTCCCAAACCTGACCCACTCAATTTATATGCATCACAGGTAGTGGCACTAAGGCTGCTGGAACTTGAATAGGACATCGACTAAAATAAGAGACAACCATGTAATAGTATTCATGATTTTATGTCTTCACATTATAACCTATGTTGGGTATTAATTATGACAACCTTAGTGTTTTGTTATTTTGGAACAATATTTGTTATCTCAAAAAGTTTTATAAAAATAAGATTTCCCGCAACAAAGACAACATGCTTTTAATATTAGACTAAAAATTTAATGTGGAATTTTGGACATTACACTGGCCTATGAACATTTGTAATATCTTTTGGGTCATTCCAAGTATTAGTGAAATTATTGAATAATCTTGATCCTCCATGCATGGTGGATATCATTTGTCAAATAATTATTATAGTTATCATGAACAAATAATTTCATTAAGTGAATATCAATATAGGGAAATTTGTGAAGGAGAATGGTTTTTGGCAACCTACTTTTAGTGCAAATCCATATTTTTCATAACCAAATAAAACTTTTTTGTTATGCTTTAAAATATCATGTTATCTTTGTTGAAGAAAATACCAGTTTAATCAAACGTTTTGAGATAAAAAAAATAGTGTTTAAAAATAACAAAAAACTAAAGATATCATAATTTATACCCAACATATGTTACGGCGTAAAGACATAAAGGTCATAAATACTATTATAGGTTTGTCTCTTTATTCACTTGGTATCCTATTTAAATTCTAGCAGCCTTAGTATCGCTACCTGTTATGTATATAAATTGAGTGAGTCAGGCTTGGGAACATGGTGAGACACATAAGATTTTCAATCCCATAATATTATAATAATAATAATGCATATCAATAAATACTGCAAAAAAACATTACCAAGCAGTGTATATATATAGGGTGAGGTTCAATAGAGAACCATAATTAACCAAAAAACCAAGGAACCAATCGTGAGCATCGGAAATCATAACGATCAACGGCCAAGGAAATAGATATACACTTTTACATTGGACGCACACACAGCAGATTATACCAAAAAATCCACCCTTTACAAAAAACTCACCACTTTTTTTCGTTTAAAATTTTTTTTAGGCCATGTTTTTTATCAAAAAAAAAAAAAACCGAATATACCGTTGTTCACGATTTTTCGTCCTCTTTCCATAGAGATCCATGATTCTATATAAAAACGAACTTTTTTTTTTCGAAAAAAACTCATTTCATTTTCTTTAATGAAAAAAGTTAAGGTCTATTTTTTATAGAAAAAAATTAATAAATATATCAAAATTCATATTTTTTGTACTTTTTAAACATAGATTCATATTAATGTTAAAAAAAAAACGATATTTCAGTTCAGATTCACATTGTGAACTTGTTCAGATTCATATTGTAAACCTGTTCAGATTCACATAGTGAATCTCCTCAGATTCACAGTGTACATAATAATAAATCAGATTCACAGTGTGAATCTGAACTGATCGGAGCTTTTTCACATTGTGAATGTTAAAATTTGAAATATTTACAGTTTAGATTCACAGTGTGAATCTACACTGATCGAGTTTTTTTTTTTTTTTTTTTTTTTTTTTTTTTTTTGTGAACCTTCTGAGATTCACAGTGTGCATAATAGTAATTCAGATTGATAATGTGAATCTGAACTGTTCGAGATTATTGATATTGTGAATGTTAAAAGTTGAAATATTTACAGTTTAGATTCACAGTGTGAATCTACACTGTTCGAGGTTTTTTTTTTTTTTTTAATCGGTGTTGATGTTTATTAATAGAGTACAAAAAACTAATATTTTTGGTATAATTAGTTTTTTTTGATAAAAATAAACTTAAATATTGAAAAAACTAAGAAAATTAAGTGGGTTTTTTTCGAAAAAAAAAAGTTTGTTTTTTATATATCATCATGGATCTCTATGGAAAGAGGACGGAAAATCGTGAACAACAGTATATTCGGTTTTTTTTTCGATAAAAAACTTGGCCTAAAAAAAACTTTAAATGAAAAAAAAAAGAAGTGAGTTTTGTTATAATCCGGTACATATGCGTCCATTATAAAATTTACAACCCTTCCTTTTGCCGTTGATCGTTTTAAATTCCGACGCTTTGGATTGGTTCCTTGGTTCTTTGATTAATAATGGTTCTCTATTGAACTTTTATATATATATATATATATATATATATATATATATATATATATAATATAATATATATATATATATATATATAGATATCTATAGATATATATATATATATATATATATATTAGCCGTTTACCCGCGCCAAGCGACGGGTGGTGCGAATAGTTTTTTCAAAAATAAGTTTCTAGACACGATTAGTTATTTTATACAAATACGCGACGCATGGTGCAAATAGTTTTTTCAGAAATAAGTTTCTAGAGACGATTAGTTATTTTATGCAAATAGTTTACTGTATCTAAACAATAATCAATAAACGGACATGAAATATTACTATATAATTTGAAAATCTAATATTTTAGAATTGGTATTTCTTTTTACTAACAATTTGTGTGGTTTCATTTTGTTGCACTTATTATTTCATAGTGTTTTTGTTAATTAGTTTATACATGGGTTTAAATATATTTTTTCTTAAAATGTTAACCATAAAAATAAATGATTAATAAAAGTAAAACCAAAACAAATATATTCAACCATCACGTCACACTTTTACTAATTTATCTTCTATGGTTCAACTAAAAAAATAAAATCACAACCTCAAAATCATAATGTACAATGATGAATATATCATACCATTTCTCATTAAAAAATCTAAGATAGAAAGATATATAATGAAAAAAAAATTGGAACGACAAAATGACACACTATTCTTTGTGATATAAACATTAGAGTTTAATTAAAAACCAATAAATTTTTTAAATTAAAAAAGGAAAGAAATAATAATCATCATGTTCACCAAGCAATTTATGTAGTTTTTTAAGGATTTAAAAAGGTTCCCATAACAAAATTTATAGAAGCAAAAACATTAGACTTCAAATATAAATTAACTTGCAAAGATAGTTAATTAGAAGTAATATCATTTAGGATTTTTCATTCTCCGGCTAATAATGTACAATGACATGTATCATACCACATTGTTTCTAAAATCAACATCTAACCTCTATTTGCTCAATGTTCTTACAAAGTACAATACCTAAATAAGATAAAGTAAATTGAAATTAATAAAATGTTGTGAAATAAAATTAGACAGCCAAAATACTCAAATATCAATCAATGGATAAATAGGATAAATGCAAGATAGAGCAATAGCAATGGACATTCATTAAAAGTGCTTTACTTGGGTGGAGTTTTCTACAGAGAAGTGTTTGCCTTCTAGTTTATTCCAAAACTCACTTTCAGGCTTAAGAATAGTGCTCATAGATGCAGTCAAAACATTAGTGGTGTTGTTGTCATCATCTGAAGTAGTGTTAAAAAGTGGATCCAAAGTGTTGTCAATCTTTTATCTGATTCATTTGCTTAGAAGTCATTTTTCCAATCTTTAGGAAATTTAAATTTTTTAATAATAATATGTTCAAAGTATAGGAAGTATTTATCCCCGATAGCAAGTTTAACCTTTTCATAATAGATCCATGAGCTGCATAAGACTGAACCAAATAGTTGTGTTAGTATACTGGAATTCAGATTGAAATTTAGCAACAAACTTTATCAAAATAAATTAATTTTATAGCGTATTAGCAAGCTACTTCTAATTTAGCAACATATATAATGGTTATTTTTTGGAAATTTTGTCATTCTATTTGTTTCAATAAATGTAATGATGGTATTTTGTTCTTTTGGTAATAAAATAACAAAATTGAATTCTATTCACTCTCACTAAAGAATGGTGAAATCCAAATCTGTCACTCAACTCCTTTTGAAAGATAATTATTCTAGAAATAACGCTTGTTTGCAGTTATTCATCGTAATGCTCAAAACAAAAATGACACAACTTAATATCATATCACCAACAAAAATCCTATCTACAATGTTATTTTCTACTTATTTTCTAGAGTTCATTGTTATAGTTTTTTTTTTTCTGGGAAATACTTAGAAAATATGTTTTTTTAATTACAAGGTTATTTTCTTGCCAATTTTCCTTTTGTATGGAAAATATGCAGAAAACCCAATTTCTTAAAGTCCAATGTTATTTTCTAAAGTTGTTTTCGTAATTTTCATTTCTATAAAACTTTTAAAAATCCGATTTTTTTGAAAGTACCATGCTATTTTCGGCATGTTTTCTACCAATTTTTTTCATTAGTTTTCATTTTTTTTCCAGAAAATCCAATTTTTCAAAAGTATAATGTTATTTTATAAAAATTTTCAACGTCGTTTTTTTTTGTAAAATTCTCTCTTTTTTTTTCTAAAAAAGAAGTAGAAAATTCAATTTTATGAAAGTACGATGTTATTTTCTGCATGTTTTCTAAAAAGTATTTTGGTTATTGTTTTTTTTTTGGAAGATATGCAGAAATCCCATTTTCTATAATAGAAGGAAATTTTCTGCATAATTTCTAATGTTTTTCTTTTGGCAATTCGCATCTTTTCCTAGATAATATTATATAAAATAAACATTTGAGTGAAAAAATATTCAAATACATTAGATAGATTTCAAACCTTTTTGTTCAAGCATTTTAGTTCTTCAGCTGTAGCCTGACCTCTAACCATGTCTTGGCTAAAAAATTATTAAAAAGTGAAGCTAATATACAAACAAAAAACATTGAACAATTTAAACCAAACCTCAAACGTGATTTTGTTTTCTTTCCTTTCGTATTCTACATCCTCAAATTTGAATGACAGGTTCCCGGATCTTCGCTAGGTGGTGAAAGAAAAATATAAGCTTCAAAGCTCCCATCTGTTCATCAGCTATAAAAATTTTCACAATCAACAACAATTTATCTAAAAAGAATTCACCAAAAAAAATTACCCAATTATGTAACTCGATTAATAAGAATGTTATAACTTTCCCCTCATGGTGGAGAGTATCATGTTGGACAAGAAGTACAACTCTTATGATTACAACTTTACCCCTGATGTTAATGGCCCGAAACTACA